TTTCTTTAACAAACGCCCACATTCGTCCCAACCTTTTCTTGGGGACCGGAAATGGCTTATCAAAACAAATATAACGCTAGGACATACCGAATTCGTCTGTCAGCAAAAGTGACCAATTAATGAGCCTGTTTGGTGGCAAAACGGTGAGTTGGGATAGTTGGTTTTTCATCTGGGACTAAACGCAAAAAAAAAAAGACAAAACGAGGTCACGTCTAGTGTTGTCTGTACCTCTATTTGTCCTTGTTGTTGTTGTTGTTGTTTTTTGGCGTTTAGTTTAAGCTCTGTTTTGTGTTTTTTGTCCTCAATTTTGTAGAGCTGCGTGCAATTTACTTTAAACGAGTTGATTTCATTGTACAACTGATTGGATAAGAAAGCGATACAAAGACCGATGGATATTTTAGAACTTGCACTAGTAGCCATACTGTGGCGCATTTAATCTGCTTTCAAAATAACTCGGCGGATTTAATAATTTGTCCGAAATTAAAGCCTAGCACCGGGAAGGGGAGGGGGGATTCAATGAACAGTTACAGCTACAGAAAGCAGCAAAACAGCTTCGATCTCTGGTAGCAGAGACTGCAAGGACCAAAACGTTTTGTCCTCAAAAACACAAACATGAAGGCGCACAGCTCTTCTGAGCATTGCTAGACAAGGAGCCGCGGCTTTCAAGGGACGCTAACGTGTTACAGTTTTGGCACGAGAGAAGGGAACGCCATCCAGAACTCTACCCATTGGCACAAGTAGCCCTGTGAGTGCCTGCGACCCAGGTCAGCGTGCAGCGAGCCTTTTCTGCACTAAAGTTCGTTCTATCGTCTCAGAGGTGCCGTCTTTCCCCGGATATGCATTCTTCGGTCCGCTGCCTGACATTGAACTCCGCTTTCACACACGTCCTGAGGTGCCCAAGCACTATAGCTCGTTCAATCCACAAAGTAATGTGAGCTTTGCTTTCGATATGTAACAATATGCATAGTTTATCTTTTGTTGTCGTCAATTTTTTCGTAGCATATGAGTACGAACCGGTTCAAACCGGTTTGAACCTTTATTTTTTCACTCCGGAGTTGAACCGGAGCTGAACCGTTTTCCCTGAACCGGAACGAAAACCGGAACGAAAAATATTTCGGTTCGACACCCTGGTACAATGTAATTTTTGGTTAGAAACATTTTGTTTGTGTGTGTGTGTGTGTTTTTTTTTTTGTTTTTTTTGACTTAGGTGAACGTTGGCTTATAAATAATTTATTTGTCTTGTTTTATCCTTCGATCGTAACGATATGCTCTCAAGCCTTCGCATATTCTATCACCACCGCCATCGTCGCATCTCACGGAGTTTCAGCTTTCTGCGAAGCGTATAACTTAACTTACGCGGGCCAAAAAACCGAGTTTTATTTTCTCTAACGGACTCGGTAGAATAATTATTTTGGGTGAAAACGATAAAAAACAAACGTAATTAAGAGGAGCACGGAAGAAAACAGAAGAATCCGACTGATTAGGAGGTAGTTTAACAAAAAGAAAGGCAAATTGTCGTCTTCTACGGTTCGAACCTCATCTGCGTATTCCAAGAATAAATTTATTGGAGCATGCAAACTATTAGTGTTGTGGGTAGCTTTGGGCTATTATTTAGTAAAATAATTTATTAAAACGATTTATTAAAATAGTTGGTAGTCCAGCGATCGGTTGTCTTTTTCTGCTTCTCCTTCCTTCATAGTTAGCTGGTTCCATCCGTAATGTATCACAAACAACTAACTCAACTCATCCCCGTAGTAAGTTATCTTTCTAGTTACATGAGCACCTCTTTCGATAATTTCAACTTCATCAACACGTACGCCCTAAGCCTACTGATTGCCCATTTAATTTGCCAAGCACGGTTGCTCTCCAGAACCATACAGAAGAATGTGATTCTGGATGATGTGCAGTCTTTCTTCTGGGCAGTGAAACCATCACAAGGACACGCACAACGAGTGTCTAAGATCCTTCGTTCCGAGAAGTGGCGTCAAGCATGCCGCCTCACCGGCTTTCTATGAGTCCAATGTTCCACCCACAACAAGTTCTCCAATCACTTGACAATTAACAAAATCACAACAGAACGCCTCTGGAGTAAAGAGCATCTCCCAATTTGGCGTCATCATCTGGAACTACGTCGACAAGGTATGACAATTGTGAAAAGAACTCCGCTCCAGGTTGTAGTTTCTAGTTTCAGTTTGTGTTTGAACTCCTCAACTCCAAGCAGCCGAAGGAACATCGACTACCGAGAGGCATGCTGGGACAGGCCTCCCGCGGTGTAAGCGGAGTATCGCAATGTAACCTCCAACAATCCTATGTAATCTCAGTATTAAACGGTGTTAAACCACTACATTGGCGACGAGGATAAAAGTCGACAACCCGCGCACACACGCTGCACTACATCGATGGTTTTCTCGACCATCAACCGTCCGCTCCCAACCACTGAATTTCGCCACCACCGCACCACGTGGAACAAACACCTGCCTTGACATATTTCATCCTACCACCATTCTCGAGCTTCGTTGTGTACGAAGATGCATCTTCCGTGGGACCCCGCTGGCGGAAGTGGGTAACGCTATTCGACAACTTTCTTTTGGCGTGCAACGTAAAGGACCCGACACGTTCGAAAGCGATGCTACTGCACTACGCAGGCGACGAGGTGTGCGACATCTACGAAACGTTACCAGCGACGGCCACGGCCGACTCCACCAGTGGTACCGCTCCCAACGCTTACAAGCTCACGGTCGATCAGCTGACGAAACACTTCGACCCAAAGGCCAACTACAAATATCAACGCTGCCTGTTCCGGCAGGAGCTTCAGCTCGGCGACGAGAGTACTGACACGTACCACACGAGGGTACGGCACATCGCCATGCTGTGCGGATTCACCGACCTGGACGCCGAACTTAAGTCCCACATCATTCAAACTTGCTCGTCGGCAACCCTAAGACGCAAGTCGCTCCAAAAGCCGGACATGACGCTGACACAGCTGCTCGAACTTGCGCGCACCACGGAGATGGCAGACCGGCAAGCCAAAAGTATGGAAAGCGTCCTGGCTGGACTACAGAATGTCACCCTGCAGGTGCAGACACACAGACCTTCACGCTCCAAAGGAAAAGATGTCAAAGGAAAAGACCTGTCATCCCGACAACAAAATGACCACACGTGTGGACATTGCGGGCGGCGGTACATACCCACATCGCTCAGAACTCTGCCCGGCAAGAGGACAGATCTGCAACAGCTGTGGCAAGGCAAACCATTTTGCTCGAGTCAGCAGGTCATCGCGACGACCAGAGCGACGGCCACTGGATGAGACCAACACCCTAACAAGAGTGGCTTCTACGGAGTCTATCTTCCAGACGGACGACCAACACAAGAAGTTGCCACAAGCATCCATCACCTACGGCTCTTTTGGTACAACCAAGGCAATTACTGACTCAGACGCAACTGTCAACACCATGGGGAGTACACTTTCAACTGGCTTACTCAGAAGCCTTGTCTCCAAACTTCAACACGCCAGATCTTCCCTTATGGATCCTCGAAACCTCTGCACATTCTCGGTGAATTTCCAGTGCAGCTGAGCTATGAAGGACAACGCTGCCAGACGGTTGTACACGTCGTCAAAGAAGACAACCACGCGCTAGCGACGCTACTCAGCCGGGAGTCAGCCACTGCGTTGGACTTGCTACACATTGTGCACTCGCTGAGTACCCCTGACCCTCTCCGAGGATACCCAGAGCTCACCAATGGGATCGGCAAGCTCAAAGGGACATGTGTGCATCTCCACATCAACCCTGACTTACCTCCTGTGGCCCAGAAACCCCGCCAAGTACCCTTCCATCTCCGATCCAAGGTGGAGGCTGAACTTCAAGCCCTGCTCGAGGCAGACATCATTGAACCAGTGGAAGGACCTACCCCGTGGGTTTCCCCAATTGTGATCGTCCCAAAGGCATCGGATCCAACCCAGGTCCACATCTGTGTGGACATGCGCAAAGCCAATGTGGCCATCCAGAGGGAGCGACATCCTACCCCTACCCTCAAGGATATGGCTGCTGAGGTGACACATTCCAGGGTGTTTTCGAAGATCGACTTACGACACTGATACCATCAGCTGGAGATTGACCAGAACTCTCGCACGATCACCACCTTTACGACACCATCTGGCCTGCTCAGATACAAGCGTCTTTTCTTCGGAATATGCTCAGCTGCTGAGGTATTCCAACGTGCTATCACCAATGTGATCGCAAACATACCTGGCATGCTCAACACCAGCGACGACATTCTCGTCCATGGATCCACAAGAGAAGAACATGACAAGGCCCTGCATGCAACACTTGAGCGACTCATGCAGACTGGACTCACGGTGAACGCTGCCAAATGCACCTTCTATCAGCCCAAGCTAGAGTTATTTGGCTTTGTATTTGGCAGTGAAGGGCTCAAAGTTTCACCCAGCAAAGAGGCAACCATTCAGAAGGCACCGACCCCAGAGTCTGTCAAGGAATTGAGAAGTTTCCTTGGGTTTGCGACATATTGTTCTCCCTTCGTATCAGACTTCACCACAGTCTCCGCACCACTTCGGAATTTGCTTTGCAAAGACGCCGCCTGGCAATGGAGCCCAGAGCAGCAAGACGCCTTCTCCCAAATCAAGGATGCCGTCACGAACGCAACGACTCTTGCATACTTCAACCCAGAGGCAAAAACAACACTGATTGTTGACGCCAGCCCTGTTGGACTGGGTGCAGTACTCACGCAGCACAGTCATGGTGACCCCCATCCAAGACCAGTGCTGTACGCCAGTCGCTCGCTGACACCAACCGAACAACGATATTCGCAAACAGAACGAGAGGCCCTGGCCATGGTGTGGGCGTGTGAACATTTCTACCTGTACATCTATGGAGCGTCGTTTGTGGTCGTAACAGATCACAAACCTCTGACGACCTAATTCTCGACAAAGGCAACCAACACCCCTCCCAGGATCGAGAGATGGCGCCTTCGGGTGCAGCTGTATGGCTTTGAGGTGCAATACCAGCCTGGAGACCATAACCCTGCTGACTATTTCTCCCGACACCCTGTTGAGGTACCAAAAGAAGATCTCCAACGCTCGACTGAAGAGTTTGTTTGCCTCACCTTGGAAACAGCCCGGCCTAACACTGTCCTTTGACGAGGTTCGAGCAAGTGCGGACAGGCTTTACACGGCCATTGCGGAAGCCATCGACAACAATACCTGGCATCGACTGACAAAGGAGTTCCCCTCCACAAGAGACACAGAGGAGATCAATAAACTCACGAAAGTGAGAGAGCAGCTCTCCACACAGACCAACATCATCCTTCAGGGCACAAGGATCCTGATACCCAGACCTCTATGCATACGTGCAGTGCAGCTGGCTCATGTTGGCCATCAGGGTATGGTAAAAACAAAACAGCTTCTACGCACAAAGGTGTGGTTCCCAAAAATGGACAGTCTCTGCACCGAAACCATCCAGGCCTGTGTTCCATGTCAAGCCTGTGACGAGAGGTCGCACCAAGAACCCCTCAGCATGACAAAACTTCCTGAGCGACCCTGGGCAGAGATTGCTATCGACCTTCATGACCCCTTGCAGTCAGGAAAATACCTGCTTGTTATCATTGACGAGCAATCTCGCTTCCCAGTGCTGGAGGTGGTTCGGTCAACATCCGCCAAACAGATACTTCCAAGACTCCGCAAGACTTTTGCTCTCTTTGGGACACCAGACGTGGTTAAGTCCGACAATGGTCCACCCTTCAACGGCAAGGACGTGGCATCTTTTGCTGCAGAACTGAACTTTCACCACAGAAAAGTGACTCCATATTGGCCTCAAGCCAACGGCACTGTAGAGAGGTTTATGAGGCCTCTTGTGAAACTCATCCAGACCGCTCACATAGAGGCCAAGGATCTCGAGATGGAACTGGACGCATACCTTGCCAGTTACCGGCAGACTCCCCCCCTCACCACAGGCTGCACACCATACGGCATGATGTTTGGAAGGGTTGCCAAAGGTCTACTGCCCACTGTTACACCACCAGAATGTCAGCAAACAGAAACACAAGATCATCAAAAAAAAAAGAACATCAAGGCTTATGCTGATCAACGCAGACGGGCACACCATCGCGAATTCTCTGTGGGGGAGGGAGTCATCAAAAAGCGCGAAACAAGAAGGAAACATCAATCAGTATACGACCCAGAACAACTGACAGTCATCGCCACAAAGGGAAACACAATCATCGCTGCAAGCAAAGAAAGGAAAAAAAGTTTGCCGAAACAAGACGTTCTTCAAGAAGCTGCCAATGCCCAACTACGTTGGAGGGCCAGAATCAGTCCCAGAGATGATGATGATGATGCCCAGGCAGGCAACTTTACAGTCGTCAAGTCGTCCACATCAGCGGCGGACAAGGCCGAAAAGACTCGTGGAACAGTGTTAGCCTCTTGCAGACTGCCTCCAAATAGGGAGAGATGTAGTGTCTAGTTTCAGTTTGTGTTTGAATTCCCCAACTCCAAGCAGCCGAAGGAACATCGACTACCGAGAGGCATGCTGGGACAGGCCTCCCGCGGTGTAAGCGGAGCATCGCAATGTAACCTCCAACAATCCTATGTAATATCAGTATTAAACGGTGTTAAACCACTACACAGGTGATAGGAAACGCTCCTATATCAGCCAGAGCAAAACAGGTGTTAAAAAACCGACCCAAATATGCCATAGCACACTAAGCTTGAGGCGTTAGACAAACTATCCCTCATACGCCAAATAGCCGCAAAAGCCCCGCAAGACCGAGAACCACAAATCATTGATGAGGGAATTCAAGTCTTTGCTTGCCTAAACCATCAGGCCCAGGTGAAAGCGAGCTTTGGACCTATTATGCAAGAGCTGCGGAGCAAACGATTAAAGCTGTGAGTCTGAGACGAGCAAGGATGATTCGTGGTTCTAGCATCCGACACATATGGAGAAAAAGCCCACCAAGCAATGACCAGGAATTTCATCCCTGCTGACAAAAAACAATCCAAAGGAGCAAAACAAGCCATCCTAAAATTGCTAGACGAAGCTCAACAACCAGGTCTTAGCACCAAGATCAGAGCCGCAAAAAATGACCTACTATCAGTGTTTTTTTTTTTCGGCCAAAAATCATAAATGAGGAGTTCCCTTCCGGGCAATCGTTTCAAAAAGAATTACATGGAAGGCATGCGTCTTGAAGTTTTTAGCCCCAAAAATCTCCAACGCACAGATTGAAGACCCTTTCCGCATACCAAACTCGGAACATGTCATCTCCTTCCTTCAAGATCAAGGGCACCTCATTGGTTCTGGTTTTTCTATTGATGTGGAGCACAAGTATTACTCTATCCCGCACTCAAGCCTCATACATGTTCTCCAATCCACCATCGAGGAAAAAGGTCTCACCAAGTTCCAAAACACCGCAAGAATGAGCTTAGGCATCTTTTTCGAAATCTTAAGATTCTACCTGTCAGCGACGGTAGTGGCCCAGCTAGATCACCAGTATGTGCAAAAAAGTGGCATTTGCATTCGCTTTCAAGTGGCCCCGCATTTATGCGAAATCTTCCTTGCGAAGTGGGGAAAAGCCATCTAGGAAGCCACACAAGAGGCACGCATGGGGGTTATTTTTAGATATGTAGACGATCTTCTTATTTTGTGCACCACAGAAGTCAACAACCAAGTCGATGGATGTCTTAAAACCACCTTGACACAATTCGAAAAAAAGCTGCACGGGCCTCACCCACGAAACTCCTGTTGATAAACCAATTCGGTTTCTTGATTTGGCGTTGAAATTCCAAGCAGGGCATGTCTGTTGGCAATACCAAACCCAATTGGGAAAAGGTTTTTTTTTTTTCCCCCTATGATTCCGAACATTAAAAAAATGTTAAGCAAGGTCTGGCCATCGCAGCCCTCTCCGCAAGCCTAAAGAATACCTGCCCACATCAAGCACAACAAAGCTTTGATACCCAAATTTCCCGACTTCACAATGCAGGGTATCCAAAAACCTTATTGGTCTCCATATGTGAAAAAATATGCCACATTGTCAAAAGGAACAATGTCCAAAGTGAAGAACAAGCAAGGAAAACAAAGAAGCCCTTTGCAGTAGTCCCATATATTCATAGGATCACCCACAAATTGAAAAAAAAAATAGCGAACCGGTAAAACGTTTAAGTTGTGTGCTCAGCACCCAATAAGACTTATTCCTTATGCCACAGGATCAATCAGGCACAAACCGACAAGAAGATATGTCTGACACCAGGCACAGGGCAAAATACGTTCCGTGCCAAAAAGGAGTCGTTTACAGCATACCGTTAACATGTGGACGCTGCTACATTGGACAGACCGGGAGATGCATAAACGAGCGTACGCGTAAACATCTGGTGAACCTGAAAAATCTCGTGGGACCAGGATACCTCGCTGGCCATTGTCAAACTTGCAAATGCAAACCAATATCTTGAGCAAGCCCGCATCATATGGCACCACAAAAACCAGCTGGCAAGGGAGATGTTGGAGGCCTTGGCTTTAGACAAAGAAGAAGAAAACTGTGTAAGCTCCGCCTCAATAACCCTGCAACCTCAAGAAAAGCTCTTTCTGCAGGGCGCCCTCCCTGCTCAGTATAAATAGAAGGAAGAAAGTAACACGATACCGAAAAAAATAAAAAAAAGCAGATGGATACGCATAAGAACTAGTAGAAGAGGAGAACGAGTTATTACAATAGTTAGTAGTCGAGCGATAGGTTGTTTTTTCTGTTTCTCCTTCCTTCATTGTTCAGCTGGTTCCACCCGTAATGTATCATAACCAACTAGCTCAACTCATCCCCGCACCTAGCTGGCAGGTGGAATGAAATTCTACGCCACAGTTAACTCAAAAATTACATCGATGACGGCAGCCTCCCTTTCATGAAGACACAATATACACCACTTCAAATAATGAACAACTCGGGGAAATAAAAAGATGGTCAATTTTTCCCCCAAATTTAGTCGATAACGAGGTAGTACAGATACCGCCTATCTGGGCATACGCCACGGTATCCGGCACCGAGGCCTTCACGCTTAAGCAGGCGTATACACACAGGGCGCGAACAGAATTACGCGAAAGCTCGCCAGAGACGCGCTGCGCCAGAAGACCGACACCGGCACCCCCCGGAACGGAGGCACCTCTTCGCGTCGCGGCGCCCGAGCAGGATCGTCTCGGAGTCAGCGTGCAATGCGGAACGGCTGGCGGGGGTGACGCCGACGAGAAACACAATGCCTCCTCGTGCGGGCGTCCGGGACAGAAGAAGCGGACTGGAACCCCCTACAGCGGCCCTTAAAGACGCCGGTCCGATCCGCGTCCCTGGTCTTTCGGAGCCACGCTTCTTTGAGTCGAGGGAGCGCCAAGCCGCGTCCCCGAGTTAGGCGGATCTATCCCTCCAGGAGTCGCACGGACAGCACGGCGGTTGGAGCAGTCGCCCGCTCTGGCCGCAGCGACAGCTGGGGTGTTTGGTGACTGAGGGTCGTCATTCCAGGTGAGAGGTGGTGTTTTTATTAGAATTATTGCGTCATCCCCACCTCGTTAATCGCGGCTAAACTCGAATTTAGATCTGTTATATCGTCTAGCGATTACTCGTTGACTACTTTAAAACGAGGAAAGGAGAGGGTAGCGGGGAGAGCTACTTTTCATGTTATATTTTTTTATATATCTTCATGATCGCCTTAATTTAGTGCTTTTATCGAGTTATAGTGTGACGTCTACGGAATGATGTTAGTGATTGAATATCGCAGATCAACTGGCCTAAAAGTTTAATGATTAACGGACTACAAACGAGGATATGCAAACAGAATAACCACCTAGTAAGAGTAGGGTGATCGGACGTCCCGTTTTGGGCAGGTCAGTCCCGTCTTAGAGGTTCATTTACGTCCTCCCGTCGTTTGCATCGAAAAAGCCTAATGTCCTGCTTTCGCGGGAACGTGCAGTTCCGAAATTAGTACTAAGCGAATGGAAGAAAAGCGAAATAATGTTGTTTTTTTATTCCTTAGAAACGTAATTTTATTAAAGTATACGTTCAAAGTTACCTTCCATATAGAACAATTTTGAGCTCTTTCCTTCCTTACATCTGCCAATAAAACTGTCAAACTTTTATTGTAGTACTACTGAATTTTACACGTTAATTTGACAACAATAAAAACGTGTGTAAAAGTGACCACGAAAGTCACTTGCCCGACTCCGGAACAATGTGCTCAAGTGACTAGTAGCACAATTTCACTTTTGCATCTCCGCCAGAGTGTCCCGTTTTCTACCCTGAAGAATGGTCACTTTAAGTACACAAGAAGCGAGGAACGAACAGCTCCCTAAGCGGGGACATAAATTAGGCAAGTCTTAAGTTTCCTAAACTGTTGGGAGCTATAACACGAACAACAGTTTCTGCTTTCTAGTGGTAACGAGCGATTGGTAACCGCCAGTAGTCGATCACCATCGATAATAATACTAGTATATTATAATAACGTAACGGAAAGCAGCCGACCAACTTCTCTCAACAACTCGTTTGCCTTGCGCGCGCTGTTTTAACGGCCAAACTTGTATAGGCCTTCCGCAGCGCGAACGTCGACGGGCAAAATGTATCGCTCGCTTACATCATATTCGCTCCATAGAGTCAAGTAGCACATAGAGACTCTCTATCTTTTCTGGTACGCATCCGCGAGAACGCAACCAAAAATCGCACGGAATTCAAAGCACATGAGAATTGTTCAACGATATATGTTCGAAAAACCGGGATATTGACTGCACGTAAATCGCCGGTAAAGTTTTGTTAACGCAAATATTATGATGTTTGTACAATCAATACAAACGCGTGGTTAAAAAAAAAAAAAAAAACCAGAACGTGGATTTTTTTTTTTTTTTTTTGTAATTTAGAATTTGTGCAATTTTCGGTTAAAATATTTTTTTTTTTTCGACGCCACTTATGCTGTATATTTCGTAACTGAAAGTTGTATTACTCGACGTCGCAACAAAGTCGCAGCTAAAAATGGCAGTCAGCAGGATCGCATCCTGTGCATCAGGTGTAACTCGGCAAATCACAGAGCCCTCGAATTGTTCGGAACCATTACTATGCAGCTACTAGAAGTTTTATTTATTTTTAACATCGAGACATGAAAAGGACTAATCAATCTTACCGTCAAATGTCCCTAGGAAATCACCGCTGCACCGTATTCCTGCACAGTTTATTTCACAAGCTTTAACATCATGTCCCATTGCTCCGCCAGAAACTAAGGCTCATTTCGATTACATTTATAAAGTCGGCACGCCAAGCGTTAACACTCACACGTTTAACATCTAATTTATGCGTAGAACATCAAATGACTGGAACTGTCTTTCCGTTTCAATTGCTGTAATTATTAAAAACTTTTTAAAAGACTTTCATTAGCAGCTTTTTTTTTTTTTACTTTATTTAATTGCCATCTTTCTTCGTGTGTTCACTCCTCCCTGTAACATACTTTGTA